GTACATAGTTTCTTCCTAAAGAAAAAAAACCACCAATAATATTTGGTCAGATATTTTTTCTCCATTCTGTTGCATAAGTTTTTTTCATAAATTGTTGTTCAGTTGCTCTTGGTTGGTTGATAGGGGATTCCTTCAGACTATAAGTTCACTTGGGCCTGAATAATATTAAAATGTGGATGAGAGTTTTACTGCATTTACTTAAGAGAAAGGTTGAGGAACACCAGGTTGACATTATAATTAAATTTCACCAGTATTTTTCTTAGGTTTATATGGAGTAGAGTGATAACCTTGATTAACAGACCCTCTGAAGCCATAGCACCGTTGCAATAGCCTCAGTAAAATAGAAAACAAGTCATTAGTCTTGTGAAACAGAAATGTGATTCTTGTGGCCCAAAGACTATGTTCCTAATGACAATGCAGTTTCTATTTATCTGCCCAAGTTTGAATGATAAAGAGGGTTGGGCCACAGTAAAATAGCAAACTTGGTGGAATATATCTCTTATCCTTCCTAGTTTTCCCATTTGATGCCTTTTTCCCCAGTTGCCAATGACTTTGGGCATCTACTGCTCTCCTACTCTTTAATCTTCTCTCCCCAATTGCTAGCACGTTAGAAAAAGAATAATCAGTCGTTTGTATTTTCCCAAATGGCAGATAATAAAAAAAACCTTAAATTTTCCAAGTGGCTAATAATAAAGTTATAACTATAACAGATATTTATAGGTTAAGCCAGGTATTAATAAGTTATGTTTATGTGGAGACTGAGGGCAGGAATTGTGTGCGATGTATCATTCTATTCCTTTTTGAGGTTATCACAGTGCCTAACATGTAGTAGGGGCCCCGTAATGAATTAATGAAGGAATTAAGGACACTTTACTTAAACAGCTTCAAGATACTGATAAAAGGTATGAAGGGGTACAACGTCACAGAAATTTAGAATAGCACAAGCATATCTCAGAGATTCTGTGGGTTCCATTCCAGATCCTTCAGTAAAGTGAATATTACAGTAATGTGAGTCCAATGAATTCTTTGGTTTCCCAGTGCATGTAAAAGTTACGTTTACACTACACTGTGGTCTGTTAAGTGTGTGAGAGCATTATGTCTATAAAAAACAAGGTACATGTCTTAATTGAAAAAATACTTTATTATTAAAAATGCTAACCATCATCTAAGGTTTCAGCGAGTTGTAATCTTTTTGCCTGTATGTTGATGGCTGCTGACTGATCAGATGGTGGTTGCTGAAGGTAGGAGTGGCTGTGGCAATTTCTTAAAATAAGTCAACAGTGAAATTTGCCATATTGATTGACTCTTCCTTTCACAAACAATTTCTCTGTAGCATGCAATGCTGTTTGATAGCATTTTACCCATAGTAGTATTTCTTTCAAAACTGGAGTCAGTTCTTTCAAACCTACCATTGCTTTATCAACTAAGTTTATGTAATATTCTAAATCTTTTGTTGTCATTTCAACAATCTTTACATGTTCACTAGGAGTAGATTCCTTCTCAAGAAACTAGTTTCTTTGCTCATTCCTAAGAAATGACTCTGTCCATTCAAGTTTATCACGAGATTGCAGCAATTCAGTCCCATCTTCAGGCTCCACTTCTAATTCTAGTTCTCTTGCTATTTCTACCACATCTGCAGTTACTTCCTCCAGTGACGTTTTCAACCCTTCAAAGTCATCCATGAGAGCTGCAATCAACTTCTTCCAAACTCCTGTTCATGTTGATATTTTGACCTCTTCCCATGAATCACATATGTTTTTAATGGCATCTAGAATGGTGAATCTTTTAGAGGGTTTTTCGTTTACTTTGTCTAGATTCATCAGAGGAATCCCTATTTATGGCAACTATAGCCTTATAAAATGTATTTTTTTAAAATATTTATTTCAGAGAGAGAGAGAGAGAGAGTGTGTGTGCACACAGGAGTGGGGCAGGGGGAGGGGCAGAGGGAGAGAGAGAACCTCAGGCATACTCCATGCTGAGCGTGGAGCCCATCATGGGGCTTGATTGCACGACCCTGAGATCATGACCTGAGACAAAAAAACCAAGAGTTGGATGCTCCTCCAGCTGCACCATCCAGGCACCTCCAAATTGTATTTGTTAATAAGACTTGAAAGTCAGAATTACTCCTGATCCATGGGCTGCAGAATGGATGTAGTGATAGCAGGTCTGAAAATGAACTGAATCTTGTACATTTGCCTCAGAGCTCTTGGGTAACCTGGTACCTTGTCAATAAACAGTACTGTTTTGAAAGGAATCTTTCTTTTATTGAGCAGTAGGTCTCAAAAGTGGGCTTAAAATGTGTAGTAAACCACATTGTCAACAGATGTACTCTCATCCAGTTTTTCTTGTTTCATTTTTACAGCACGGATGGAGTAGATTTAGCATAATTCTTAAGAGCCCTAAGATCTTCTGAGTGGTAAATGAGCTTTGACTTCAAAAAGTCACCAGTTAGACTCTAACCAGAGAGTCAGCTTGCCATTTGAAGCTTTGAAGCCAAGCGTTGACTTCTCCTCTCTAGCTATGAAAGTCCTAGGTGGCATCTTCTTTCAGTATAAGCCTGTTTCATCCACAAAAATGCTGTTTAGTGTAGCCTCCTTCATTAACTATTTAGCTAGATCTTCTTGATAACTTGTAGCTTCTGTATCAGCCCTTGCTGCTTCACCTTGCACTTGGTTGTTATGGAGCAGTGTCTTTACTTAAACCTCATGACCCAGCTTCTGCTAGCTTTAGACTTTTCTTCTGCAGCTTCCTCACCACTCTATGCCTTCATAAAATTAAAGAGGGTGAGGGCCATGCTCTGGGTTAGGCTTTGGTTTAAGGGGATGTTGTAGCTTCTATCAAGACTGCGAAAACTTTTTTCCATATCAGCAATAAAGCTGTTTCACTTTCTTACCATTTTCGTGTTCACTGGAGTAACACTTTTAATTTCCTTCAGGAACTTTTCTTTTGCATTCACAATTTGGCTAACTGGTACAAGAGGTCTAGTTTTTGGTGAATCTCAGCTTTTTTGACGTCTTCTTTTCACTAAGCTTAATCTTATTTCTAGTGTTTAATTTAAAGTGAGAGATGTGTAACTTTCATTTGAACAGTGGAAGCCATTGTAGGGTTATTAATTAGGCTAATTTAAACATTATTTTGTCTCAGGGAATAAGGAGGTCCAAGGAGAGAGAGAGAGAGACAGGGGAATGACTGGTCGGTGGAGCAGTCAGAATATAAACAACATTTATTAAGTTCACCATCTTAAATGGGCGTGATGCCTCAAAACAATTACAATAGTAACATCAGAGATCACTGATTACAGATCACCATAACAAATATAATAATAATTAAAAAGTTTGAAATATTTTGAGACTTACCAAAATGTGACACAGAGATAGGAAGTGAGCAAATGCTATTGAAAAAATGGCTCTTTAATGAATTGTTGAACACTACATCAAAAACTAATGATGTACTATATATTGGCTAACTGAACATAATAAAAAATAATAATAAAAAAATGGCTCCAATAGAAGGGCTTGCTCAGGTTGTCACAAACCTTCAATTTGTAAAAAAAATGCAGTGTCTCTGAAGTGCAATAAAGTGAAGTGGATTAAAAAAGAGGTATGCCTGAAAATCTGAATGAACACTATTGTAAAGAAGATACATAGCTGGGTAACAGGTACATAAAGAGAGGCTCTACATCATTAATCATCAGGGAAGTACACATCAAAACCACAATGAGATATGACCTCACACTCCTCAGAATGGCTAAAATAAAAAAGAAATTAGTGTTGGTGAGGATCTGAAGAAAAAAGAACCCTTGTGCACTGTTGGTGGGAATGTAAATTGGTACAGCCACTATGGAGAACAGTACAGACGTTCCTCAAAAAATTAAAAACAGAACTACCATAAAAAAAGAGGTATGCCTGGATCAGAAATTATTTAGGTTTTCAATTTTAATTCCAGTAAAATTAACATAGAATGTTATATTAGTTTCAGGTATATAGCAATAGTGATTTCAGCAACTCTGTACTTACTCAGTGGTCAAGATAAGTGTACTTTTTTTTTTATTAGTACAGTTGACACACAATGTTACATTAGTTTCAGGTATACAGCTTAGTGATTTGACAAGTTTATACATTATGCTATGTTCACCACAAGTATAGCTACCCATTACATTGCTATTACAATATCATTGTATTCCTTATGCTCTGCTTTTTATTCCCATGACTTAGTCATTCCATAACTGGAAGTCTGTATCTCCCTTTCTCCTTCACCCTTTTGTCCAGTCTTCCACTTGCTACCCTCTGGTAACCATCAGTTTATTCTCTGTATTTATAGTGGTGCTGATTCTGCTTTTTGTTTGTTTTTTGTTTTTTAGATTACATTTATGAGTGAAATCATATAGTATTTGTCTTTCTCAGTCTGACTTACTTCACTTAACATAATGTCCTCTAGGTCCATCCATGCTCTCTCAAATGGCTAATCCTAACCTTTTTTATGGCTGTGTAATATTCCATTGTATATGTATACCACATTTTCCTTATCCATTTGTCTACTGATGGACACTTAGGTTGCTTCCATGTCTTAGCTATTGTAAATGATGCTGCAATAAACATAGGAGTACATATATCTTTTCAAGTTAGTGTGTTTGTTTTCCCTAGGTAAATACCCAGTAATGGAATTATTGGATCGTATGGTATTTGTATTTGTATTTTTTTTTTTGAGGAACCTCCATACTGTTTTCCACAGTAGGCATACCAGTTTACATGCCCACCAAGAGTGCATGAAGGTTTTCTCCATATCCTCACCAATACTTGTTATGATAAGTATACTCTTATCCCCTTTCCCTATATCATCCATACTTTCGCCCACCTCCTCTCAGGTAACCATTAGTTTGTTCTCTAAGAGTCTGTTTTTTTTTTGTTTGTCTGTTTTTTCTGTTCCTTTGTTTTGTTTCTTAAATTCCACAAATGAGTGAAATCATATGGTATTTGTCTTT